ATTTTGTTATCTTATCATTAAAGGAAAAGCTTTCATTATTTGGTATATATCGAGACAAGGATCCCTTTAATTAAATCAGGCAAAGGACCCTTTTAACTTAAAATTAATGAATTTTGGTCTACCGGCTTTACTAGTGCGTAAACTGGCACTGGCGAAGTCGGAGTAAACAAGCGTAGTCGCAAGAATAACTCAACTTTGCAGAATTCTGGTTGCTAGAAAATCAAAGTTAGCAGCGTGGTCTTTAAGCTGGCAAAGCACGCTTTGTTTTCACACTCCAAAAACGCCCACCAGCGGCCGAGCGGTAAAGTCGCTGAACACTGGTAGTTCGGTCCGAGGTTCGAATCCCGCGAACGGACTGGCTGCATGGGTGCTTTCGTGGTTTTCCCAATGTGTAACGTGTATACGAGCCAGTTTCCCTTAGAAAGTCCTCCACGAAGGCACCCCTCCCCTTAGGCAGGTAGCCCTCGTGTGCTTTGCCATAATTAAATACACTTAATACACTTAACACACTCCAAAAACTTGAAATACTTCCTGCTTTCTGCCTAATTTGAATATCGGAATGAAACGAGGCTTGGTAGGAAAGGGATTACGTGATAAGATTTGGAGACTTGTCCCCGGGGGGGGGAGGGGAACAATGTATTTTTTGAAGTTATCCCACCATTTAAATTATGAAATTTGAAACAATAATAAAAGAAAAAAATCTGAATGCTTTCAGATTTTATATTACGGCCAAAGAGGCATTTTTTTTAACATTTTGTGTCATACCTTTATTTATTAAATATCATATTCTTCGCACTTAAACCATAAAATTCAGTTCAACAGCAATGTCACAAAATAATTTTTAAAATGAGCGTATCTTTAAAATTTCCGATACACAGTTCTGCTCGCTGGAGATAAAAAGTTTTTTTTTCCACCCCCCCGTAAAGTGTTGCCATAGCTCACCTTGAAATCGTTGAGTTTGTTAACCAAAAATTCGTTAAAGTTTTTACAAAATATGAAATCGATAATAAAACAAATTCCAAATTTGGGCTTTCTCAAATGCCCATATTCGCAGTAGGATTACGTCATTCAAAATTGGATGGCCCCTAGGTACCGCTGTTTTATCACAATGCGAGAAACATTCATACATTTATGCAGCTTCTTCATTACTTAATCTCTTGAAATATAATACAATAGGTAATATATAGGGCGATAGTATTTGGTGGGAACGATTTGAAAAGTGATAGAGCCTTTAAAATTTTCAACACAAAATCGCAAAACGAAAGCAATAGTTCTGTAACACAACCCCTTTGGACTAAAGGAGGAAAAATGGAAGTATGGTTTATGCAGATAATTAGCTTTCATGTCACCAAACTATAATTATTAGCATATAATTTCATTTCTAGCATTTCAAGTTTTGAGTAGAAGATTCTGAAACTTCCACGCGGTATCTTCAGTTAATAGGACAGAAAAGTTATGCCTCGTTTATTATCACGTTAACATTACTCATTGTTACTAAATGTTCCCGACGATTACGAAGAGTATGCCAAGAGTATTTATTACGTGACTCTTCTCTGATTAGCACCATCCGAAGGGTATTTTTTCTGTCCCTTAAATTTTTGAAGAGGGGGAGGTCGAAGTTCCACGGAACCGCCGTAACTGGCCTTCACTTCATTTCTGGCGTAGTAGGAACTTAGAGGGCGGAAGATGACCTTCGATTTTTAACCTCTAGTCGTCCGTGTTTTGGGGGAGGGGGATTTTAGTTGCTTTCTTCTGCACCTGTAATAACAACACAGTACTCTGGAGAGTGACATTCGAACAAGCCACTTCATCGGCAGGGTTCTGTGTAGTGGTGCAATGGTAGTCACGGCTTTTTTATCTCTGTTCCGTGTTTTATGCACGATGAAAATTCACGAAGTTTTATCGAAACGCTTCGGGTGAGTTCCGACGTTTGTAAATAGTCTTGCATATTTTATATAATTTTTGTAGCAATAATATTTATAGTGAAAAAATTCGCTTTTAAATATATGTTTTTAATGATTATAAATGTAGTTATCGTTTTCCCTCGCAACGCGTTATAGATAATGTTCAACGTTTGTATATAGGCTTGCATATTTTATATAATTTTTGTAGCAATAATATTTATAGTGAAAAAATTCGCTTTTAAATATCTATTCTTAATAATAATAAATGTAGTTATGGTTTTTCCTCGGCGCGCGTTGTAAATAATTAATTCTCACACTTTGAGAGAAATAATAATAAAAAAAAAAATTCCTTTTTTATATTTTTAGAAGCGAATATATCCTTGCATTTTTATATAATTTTTGTAGCCTAATATTTAGTGAAAAAAATTCGCTTTTAAATATATGTTTTTAATGATTCTAAATGTAGTTGTTTTCCCTCGCAGCGCGTTATAGATAATGTTCAACGTTTGTATATAGTCTTGCATATTTTATATAATTTTTGTAGCAATAATACTTATAGTGAAAAAATTCGCTTTTAAATATCTATTCTTAATAGTAATAAATGTAGGTATGGTTCTCCTTGGTATTGCGCTATAGATATGTAATTCTCACACTTTATGAGAAATAATAATAAAAAGATTTTCCTTTTCAATTTTTTTATAAAGAGCGGAAAGAATTCTGCTTTCTTAAGATTTTGTATGTTAAGCATGTTTTAGGGTTTATTAAATACGGTGTCACACATACTCGACGAATTTAATTTATTATTTTCTTCGAAAAAGTTGTTTATTTAATACCTTTTGTATTGTATGTTGTACTTCTTATGTGTTATTTTTAAGTAAACTTTTTAATGTTATCGTTTCAGAGTCTAAATTTTAAAATAAGATACTGAATAATTAAGATAAAATAACACGCCGAACAAGTGTTAATTTAGAAGTCAAACAACAAAAATCAGAGTTATATTTTCAAATTTCAAAATATAACGCTGATTTTTGTTGTTTGACTTCTAAATTAATAAGCTACTGCGTTTTCAAAATCGCTAGAAATATTTCGAGTGCTCATGAATCACTCAAATGCTTTTTTTTTAACAGGTAACCCTATTTAAGAACTTTTTAAAGCACATTTTTGTTGCTGTTTAAGGAATATTTTTATGCTTTTAGCCCAAAGGGCGTTAGCCCAGAAGACGTATTAATTTCGTTTTGGTATTTTGCGTCAAAAACTAAATGTCGGTTCACTTTTCAAACTGTTGCCACCAAGTATTAGAGCCCTGTATTATATTTAAAGAAATTAAATAATGAAGATTCTGCATCATCAACAAACATTCATGTTTGTTTCTCGCATTGTGATAAAACAACGGAAGACATTGAGACATTCAATTTTGAACAACGTACTTTTCCACCCGAATATGGGCATCTGGAAGCCCAAATTTGAAACTTGTTTTACTATCTATTTCATATTTTGTAAAACTTTTTTTCAAACCGAGCAATGGCGACACTGAAAGAGGGGGGGGGAATTATCTCCAGTGCACGAAACTGTTTATCGGAAATTCTGAACATAAATTTTAAATTATTTTGCGCTATTGCTTTTGAACTGGATTTCATGGTTTAAGTACGAAGAACATGAAAATTAGTAAACAAAGGTAACACACAAAACGTTAGAAAAACGCCCGTTTCAGATTTTTTAAATTAATTTTTAGCCCACAATGGCGATTATTTTTTATTAAAAATTAGATAATTCCATGTTTATTTGCATCCTAAGCTATATTTATATTAAGCATAAAAATTAAAAATGGCATAACTTTATCTGCATGAATCCATTCATTGAAAGCAACATAGTATAGTCGTAAAATTTGACATAAGTTAAAAGTCATTTAAAGTTTGACACATTTAAAAGTTAATTTTTAGCTTATATATCAATGTGAATGAAAAGAAATTTTAAGTTTTCAGCAGGTTATTCAAATTATTTTTCCTTCTAATATTGTTACAGTTTAAAAAAATAGTTTTAATGTACGTTTATTATTATTATTTTTAAATAATTCTTAAATACTTTTTGGACTAATTAAAAAAAAAGAAAGAATATTTAATAAAATAGAAAATGAATCAAAAATAACATACCAAGTGAGTATTTGCAGTGATTAAAAAGTTTATATACAGATTTTTTTTTTTTAATATCGATAAAATTGTGAAATCTCTGTCGGGCAAATGACTGTTTTATAGTGCTTATTCTATAATGTAATCCTTTACGTAGCAATTTCTTATTATTTTTATTCCAATTTGTATTTTAATTCTTCATTTAAAGGACACTGGCATTCCATAGTTGCCATTTGTTCCGATTTTTAGTCACGTCCGGTGTCACGATAGATATTTGAATTTTTAATTTTAGCCTTTTCGAATGAAAGTGTTTTTCATCAATAAATGTAATGTGTTGAATTACTTAATGTAACTGAAATTGTTCATGTTTCATTCCTCCACTCCTAGTAATGTTCAACGTAGTTTTTCTTATGGAATTTTATTTGATCTGAATATTCTTAATATGCAATAGACATCTTTAAACTTTATATCAAGAATCGACCAATATTTAATCAGTAACCTTTGGTATTTGATTTTGTTTGATATCAATATACGGTCTATTACTGAGTTTATTCGCACAATAGTATGTACTTTGATTAATAATTCTATTTCTCTTGTATTTCAAAGTATTTCGTTAAGTTTCTTATTCCGACTCAGAATAAAAGTGTAAGAAAATTACGAAATGGAATTAGCCTAAGAAAATAATTATTCAAAATGTGTAATTAATGTGTATTTTATGTCAAAATCATAGTATAATTAATCATTTTATAATATATTATAAATCGTTGAATAATCGAAATCAAGCACTGTACAACGAATGTAAGTCTATTTGAGTTCATTTGAAATGGTAGCGCGAAAATCTCTTCGAAACTCCTGGCTTTTCGCATTTCATGGTCGCAGCTATGCCAGCGCCTCTTATTTATTTATTTTTTTAATGAGTTTAAAAATTGTTAAATATGTTTGTAATAATTTTTATTCTTTTTATTCACAGTTCTCTGAAGACAAAGGATTTGTGGCAACAGAAACTCATACAGTAAGTTTTCTTTTATGTGTACTTGTTATTGATATGGAAGTTTAGAGCTTTGTTTATGCTTAATCACTTTAATTTATGCCTAAAACAAAAAAGACGTTTAATTAAAACAGAAAATTAGAATTTTTACTAGAAAAATATATAAATGGTCATCAGATCCAGGAGCGGATGGGCCTGTCTGGAATTCCGGAAATTTTCTGAGACCTTGTCACTTAGAACGGCCAACTGGAGAACAGTTCCCGAAGGTCACGGTTTAAGCCAGTGGTCTCAAATTGTAATTGAATGAGGGTTACATGCATGACATGAAAGCAGTTTGGGTGGCCAGATTTGTTTAAACAAAATTTTAAACTAAATAAAAAAAAAATGAAGTTTTGAGATTTTATATTACGTTCAAAAGGGCTTTTTTTAGCGTTTTGTATGTTACCTTTATTTATTAAATATCATGTACTTCGCCCTTAAACCATAAAATTCAATTCATCAGCAATATCGCAAAAGAATTTAAAAAGAGCATATCTTTAGAATTTCCGATAGACGGTCTCGCGCGCAGGAGATAATTTTTTTTTTTTTTTTAAATGTAAAGTGGGAATTTGTCCAGAACGACTATTAATTCCGCGTTGGTTCACTTTTCAAATTGTTGCCACCAAATATTATCGCCCTGCATTATATTTAAAGAAATTAAATAATGGAGGATCTGCATGAATGTATGTATGTTTCTCGCACTGGGAAAAAAGAAAAAAAAGGTACCTAGATCCATCAAATTTTGAATAACGTAATCCTCTAACCGAAAAGGAGCACTTGAAAGCCCGAATTTGGAATTTGTCTTATCGTCTATTTCAAAGAGGCGTTTTTTTTTTTAACGTTTGCTTGTTAATTTATTTATTAACTATCGCTTTCTCCGCACTTAAACCATAAAATTCAGTACAACAGCAATATCGGAAAATAATTTTAAAATGAGCATATCTTTAGAATTTCCGATACACAGTCTCGCGCTGGAGATCAGAAAAGTTTATTTTTCCCGTACAGTGTTGCCATTGCTCGCTTTGAAATCGTGGAGTTCGTTAATCGAAAATTCAGTAAAATGTTACAAAATATGTAATCGATAATTAAACAAACTCCAATTTCCAAATTTGGTCTTCCACATGCCCATATTCGCAGGAGAATTACGTCATTCAAAATTGGATCGCTCTGGGTACCGTTGTTTTATCACAATGCGAGAAACGTACATACATTTATGTAGATTCTTCATTATTTAATTTCTTTGAATATGATGCAGGGCGATAATATTTGGTGGCAACAACTTGAAATGTGAACCGACATTTATAGTGAATCAACGCAAAATGCCAAAGCGAAATTAGTAATCCATCTGAGCGAATTGTCCCTTTGGAGTAAAAATGTTTCTTATAAATGCCAAACTTTGGCCCTCGAACTGTCAGTTCACGGATTTTCAAGCACTCATTTACAATATTACCGAGGCCTGCAGAGAACGCATTATTTAGCCTTCGTAAAATTTAGCAACGTTAAAGAGGAAAAGTATATTTTCCCTTTGCTCGGCATAAAATGAAAATAAAGGAGTTTCTATGGTGTACGATGCTAAACTCCGGATCTTTGTCCACTTGAGTGCTGCTTGATGTGTATTGAACAATAGTTTTATTACTGTAATATTATTCTAAAATGAAACAGAAATAGTGCTACGACTTTTTACTTCCTTGTACGAAGTAAAAAGGAAGTATTGTAATCGCGAAAAGTTTCAGGCAGCATATTTCAACGAAAATATCCATTTTGACCGCTATCGAATGCAATTTAACGATGTTTTGTTATATCTGCATGTAAGGACACAATAAATACTTTTCCTCCCAAAAAATCATTAAAACTGCTTTAAAATTAATTCTGAAGAGAATTTTTTCGTGGCGTCTGTACGAACATATGTACGTACGTACGTATCTCGCATAACTCAAAAACGAGTAGCCTCAGAACGTTGAAATTTTGTATATAGGACTGCTGTAACGTGTTTAAATGTGCACCTCGTATTTTGGATGCAATCGGCCGCACCACACGTATATAAATATATTTATATATCCACTCTGTTACCCGGCTCAGTGATCTCAGTTTCTTTACTCTTATATGTTGGTAAATTGTACATTTTTTGCTTTAAAAATGATTGAATTATGTTGTTTTTATCTTCCGGTTAAGATTTTTATGCCTTTAGTAAATCTGTATGCAATATTTTTAGAATTATCAACAATTTTAAAGTTGTTTAAGTGCCGCTAAGCCTTTTCTTGACGGCGGCCATTGATTGTTTACATTTAAAACAGCAGACTAGTGGATTTGTTGCCGATCTAGAGAAACTTAGCTTCGCAACAACAAAGATAACGCCTTCATATATTATTGCGAATTAAATCATGCTTAATCCTTTCTGGAATTTTTCCAGGAAATAAGTGTTCAAGATTTACTTCGTAATTTTTAATATAGATGTTTTGAGTTTTATGTATTTTTTGCCTTCTTTTTGTGAGAACTAAAAATTAATTGAATGAGAAATACTGAATCGTCTGTGAAAAAAACTGTTTCTTTTGTTTTATAATTCTTTTATACTCGTTTTAGTTTTGAAATAAACATGGCAACAGGATAAATAATTCTATTCTTTAAATGATATAAATTTTGTGCATTTTGAATAATAATAAATATACCTAACTAGCGCCTAGCTATGGTAACAAAGTGAATTTAAAGAATGCATTTATTTTATTGTGGTTTTGCCCTGTCGGCGAAGTAGATTTAATTCAATCCAATAAGTTTAAATGAAATGCAAGAAAAATGCGTATAATTAAATATTCCGTACAAGGAAGTCATGTGGTGTACACATCAGATTTTTTTAATAATAAGTAATGTCTTTTTAAAATTATGTCTATTAATTTCAAACAGTTTCGCACGCGCTCTTTCCGCTTTGGCGATATTATTTTTAGAACAAGTGTTATTAAGACAGCAGAAAAAGCAACTAATCTTCGTCCCCATATGTTAATTTGTAACTTGCAATAGAAAAATTTGTGAAATTTGCGGTATTTGATTTAACAGTTTGAATTTAATTAATTAAAAATTCTAGGATTAGAATTTATCTCTGTATCCTGGTCGTCAACATTAGTTGACGACATTATCTCCCTCAACATTAGTTGCCATCATTATCTTCCTCAATATTAGTTGCCATCATTATCTTCGTCAACATTAGTTGCCATCCTTATCTTCGTCAACATTAGTTGAAATCATTATCTCCGTCAACATTAGTTGCCATCATTATCTCCGTCAACATTAGTTGCCATCATTATCTTCGTCAACATTAGTTGCCCAGGAAAAGTAAAATTTTTTTATGCATAAGGACCTCTTAAACTGGCAACTTATTTTAGTAATTTTTACACATTCAGTTATAGTTCTTGCGTAGAAATGTGTAACGTATATACGAGACAGTTTCCCTTAGAAAGTCATCCACGAAGGCTTCCCTCCCTTCAGGCAGATAGCACTCGAGGCTTTCCCGTAATTAAATAACCTAATCTTGCGTAGAACGCTCAATCAGGCCCCACTTGTTTTAGAATTAAAAGATAAGAAAAAACTACAAGTTCGTTTTTTTTAGCCGAAAGGGTATTAGCTCGGAAGAGCCGTTAATTTCGTTTTGGCATTTTGCGTCGAAAACTTTAAATGTCCTTTCACTTTTCAAATTGTTGCTACCAAGTATTGGAGGCCATGTGTTATATTTAAAGAAATTAAATAATGAAGAATTTGCATGAATGTATATATGTTTCTCGCATTGTGATAAAATGACAGTACCTCGAGCATCCAATTATGAATAACGTACGTCTCCACCCGAATATAGGCATCCGGAAGCCCTAATATGGAATTTGTTTTATTATCTGTTTCATATTTTGTCAGACATTTCCGGCGACGATTTCCAGGCGAGCAGTGGCAACACTGTACTGGGGGGGGCATTTTTATCTCCAGCGTGCGAGACTGTGTATCGGAAGATATGTTCTTTTTAAAATTATTTTGCGATATTGCTATTGAATTGTATTTTATGGTTAAAGTGCGGAGAATGTGATATTTAATAAATAAATGTAACACACATGTAATGTAACACTTTGGGCGTGATATAAAATCTAAAAGTTTTCAGATTTAAAAAGAAAAATATTTAGTTAATTTTTATTAATTTGAGCTTTTCATTTGCAAATAAACGCTGAGATTATTCATAGGTAACATTACTTTGAATTGAAATATCGAAATTGCTTGCGTTTGTTTATTTTCCCAGATTATAACGATTTCACAATCTCATCCTCATTTTACCGTATCAGGATCCATTCCTGTGAAGAGATCCTGTGCTGTTTATTGCGTCCGGGACTGGAAATTTCATGAGTCAGGCATCTTTTCTTCTTTCTGAAGCAGACGCTTTTATCTTACCGCTTTTAAAATGCTTAAATCAGTTTCTTTACTCCAAACACTCCTCATTTCCTCTGTACGACAATGAGGTTCCCGTGTGAATCAGTTCCCTTAAAGTTTTGTTGTATTGTTGTCCTGTGGTATTTTGTATTGCCTTTTAATCAGTGGTACCAGGAAGTTTCTTTTGTCCTGCATAATCTGTTTTTCATAAATTCATTAGGAAGGCTTCTTTACCCCTGTAGGGAGGTAGCCTTCAGTTGTTTGCCATATTTTAAGTAGCCCAGTTATAAAACCGCAGAACTGTTTCTTGTTAGTCCGCATATTGTAAAGGAAAAAGAATATGCTCGATATACTACAGGCAGCTGGAAACGATGAACAAACACATAGAAACAAATATCTTACTATTAATATTTAGGGGAAAAAAAAAAAAAGTCTTTAAAGGTTTCAGATTTTAACGGTCGCTTAAAAGGGTTTGTTAAGGTTTTTTTTTTACGCTTTTGCTGAGGTCTGAGTCTGCGGTCACACCCCTTCCCTTTTGGGGGGGGGTCTTTTCAGCTTTATTATAAAGCATCATTTTTCTCGCACTTAACGTCATATGCAATTCTACAGCAAGATTACAAAAATTTAAAAATCATTTGTGCGGTATACATGTAGAATTCCCATGCAGCGTGAAGTGTCGACATACGCGTTTCTGCTACCCTCCCCAAGTCTTTTTTCATTTCATCGTATCAATGTTCAGTTTTCTGACCAAGATGGCTTATGCTATGTAACGTTTTATACTATGTAAGGAACTCTGTGCTACGCAGCGATCTTCGCATCGAACCTCTAAAAGAATATCTGCTACGAAGCAATGAAAACTTCTTCCAGAAAGCTTTGGATTGTAGTCTTTTAAATTATTTTCAGATCTTTCAACTATGAGATCCTCGCAGAAGATCAATATCTACGTCCTTTTGCTGCATTCATGCTTAACACAGATGATAATCACCCAACTTAAATTATGAATACCAACTTTTTATTTAATACTCATTTTCATGTGCATTTTACTGTCATCTGGGCACTCCTACGCATGATGAACTCTTAACTGCTAAGCTCCGCCCACTGGTCATGATTGGATATAACAGCACTTTTACGAACTTTAAGTGTAAAATTTTTTTGTGGTATTCTCTTACCAGGACTATTACTATTATGAGAAAAATAAGTGTTCATAATTCTACACGGCAAATAAATTAAAAAAAAAAAATGTTTTTATACGTTTTCTGTCCTAGCAAATGGCAAGGACTCTCCGCTATCACATGACATGGTCAACTACTGGACTTTTACTCTCCATGTAAATATTGTAAATACCTTTTCATATTTTATCTAGACTCTCAATTATCGATACTCATCTAGAACTATTTTTCCCCCCTACTTGAAATTATCTTTGTATCTTATTAATGTTTGTGAACTCATCTAGTATCTGAATTATTTATTACATCACCCCACGATGTAAAATTCTGCAGTGGCAAAGTGCCACCTTTCCCTTTATTTTTCACATCTTGTTTCTGTGACAACTTTTGCTGATGTTTTTACTTCCAGGATGCCATATTAGAAGACAACTGGCAAAAAGCCTGCAAATTCACGCCGGCTAGGCGTGAATATAACAGCGGTAAATGGAATGGAATGGATCATTTTTAACATTTTGAATATGCAAGGAAACAGCAAAAATGCTTAAACTTCTATAATTTTTATATAGGCTTTTTATGATCGTGACATTCCTGTTTTAGGTTTGTCTTCTTTTAACCGTTTGTATTATTTGATACGATATGACAATTTATTTACTGGATTTGGACGGGGGTCCATTTTTTTTTAAATCTATGATAATTGTAATTACTATTTTCTTTACGGCATTTTTTCTTGAAAGTTTTCACGGAAATATTCTGCTTTCGGGCCTTTAAACTGCTTAATTATTTCAAGGTAGTAAGTACTCTTTCAGCCATTCTCTGTAAAGTATAAAACTTCAAATCATTGTTCCTTTTTTCTTTTTGATTTGCTGAAAGTTTTGAAACTTCAGCTAATAAAGCATGCAAGCAGCCATCGTTGTTTAAAAATAAACAAATTTTATTCAGGGAGTGACGATGCAAGAAAATGCAATATTTGTTTTTTGTAGTGGCCTAATTATTGCATGAGAATTATATTTTTATCTTATATTTGTTCATTTGTTTAATTATTTTAAAAATTAACTTTATATTTTGTTAATATTCATATTTATATTTCTTTTATGCTTGAATGGCAACAAGTAGTTCATATTTATATTTAAATTTCTTTATGCTGAATGGCAACTAGTTCTGATCCATGATTACTAGGTTTTGGTTTCAGACGTTGCGCGTAACGTCGCTAACTGGAAAATAAAATGCAATAAACTTAGCTATTTGTTTATAATTCATGCTGTTCCTAATCATAAATTAATTTTAAACATTATTAGCCAAGGCCACATTTTTTTTTGAAACTATCGGTGATTATTTCCTTCTGAAAGAGAAATATAAGAACGTGAATTAGAAGAAGAAAGTTAACGAATTCTCCTTATAAATATATTACATAACAGGGTTGTCGATTTTATAAATACTTTCGCAGATGTTTGTTTGATATAAATATGACATGGCTAGTATATTGTAATGGTAGATATATGTATGCATTTATGTAACAGGTGTTTCTTTTAAACTGATTCTTGAGTGTTAACATACTCCAGAAAATAATTTTAAAGCATTATCGGAACCACCTGTTTGGAGTCTCTTATTACTTGTCAATAAGATTTAACAGCTCCTTAAAATTACAATGTCTGCAACATCTGCGTATCTGTGTTAGTGGTGGTGGTTTTTAAATTCTTTTTTTTTTAGTTGCTCTTTCGCTATGTATAGCGCAATAAAGTCATGAAGAATATGTTTTATTTATTTGCGTTTGAAATAGAATAGCTGTTCATCAGACTGCAAAATTATGAATTTTTGATTTGGTCAAAGTGTTGTTATCTATTTTGATTGTAATTATTGTAGTAAGAATAAACTGGCAATTATATTTTCGGCAATATGGGCAATTATATATTAAATTACGAATGGCAATAGTGGAGGTTTTTTACATTTATGTTTCGAGCTTCTTCTTTTTATTAGGAAATGAGAAAAATGGCTTCGAGTGTATTTGAGAATTAATGCGTATTATCGTAACGCCATTTATACTCTGAGTGTTGTTTGAGATGTCAAAGCTATAGTTGTTACTTGTTGGATTTGTAAAATAAACTGTGTGTTGTTCACAGGATGTTTCATTGAATAATTAATACACTCATTTCCATCACTAATTCTTCTGATATTCGAATGCAAAACAAAATAATGTATGAATGATATACCAATATATAGAACAAATAAATTATATGAAATAAAACACAGTCAAAATATTTTACAATGCGCTAATACGAAAATGTTTATGAAAATTTCATTGCTCATAGTAACAGGGAACAAAATCGTATGTTGATACAAATCGTATCGAAGTATTTCCTTCAATATTCATTCATTTTATGTTTGCCTTAAACGTAGCATACTGATTAAAAGTGCAGTATTTTGAAAGAATTACTCTGCTGGTGCTTATTCTGTTAGACCTTCTCATGTATGTTTCAAGTGAAATTGATAAATATTTTCTAGCATCAGGCACTTAAATTTTTTTTTTTTTTTTTTTAAATGAAGAAAAATAAAATTGTAATCGGTATCGGAGCAAGCAGGAAGTGATGTTTGTAAAGCTTCCGTTTTTAGCTTGTTTTGTTAAAAGTTTTTAGCTTAATAGTAGTTAATGTTAGTTGATAAAGGCAAATAGTATTTTTATGGTGAATTTAATTATTTAGCATAATTATTGTATATTATGACAAGTCGTTTGACTTTAGAATTATTACAATACATTTCATTGAAGCAGTTAAAATTTTGCTGTCTGTATATTTTTGAAGATTTTGTGGCAACAGTTATTTGTGTTTGATTTCATCTGTTTTTTATTCTTTAATTAATTTAAGAAAGTTTTATAAAAGTTTCGGATATTTTAGATCTTGTGGCAATATTTGTTCGTATTCAATTTTGTTTATTGTGTCAGTTACGACGGAAAAATTTTTAATACTAGATTTAAAAAGTTTAAAAACAGGTTTGTGTTTTCTGTTGTGGGCAGAAAGATATGAACACTTCTACTAAATCAGATGGTGATCATACAGTTGAAAATCAGGCATTGTCTGATACGCGGTCTGATGGGCCGTACGGATCGCCCGAAAATTCGTTCAAGCCTCCAGCTGGCGTAGGAACTCAACAGGGTTGTCGACGGCCACAGAAGAAACATTTTCCTGGAAAAACTAGTAGCAGTATATTTTCTACGGGCGATTCAAATCGGGCTACATCTGTCATGAAAGGGGAGTCATTTGACTTTCGAAAGAAGAAAAGTTTATGGCCTGACGATCGTTAAACGAACCTTGGACCGAAACTGTTAAAAATTTTCAGTGCCGATAAGATGTCTTCTCTGACATAGAAAGAATCATTAAATTATTTATTAAATTTGTTAGGCGATAATTATATGAAAATTTAGCAGAAAATAGAATTTTAATTTGCATGCTTTTGTCTTTAAGCACTGTAACTCCGGATTAAATTTTTTTTGACAATAAAAGATAATGATTATATAAAATATTAAATATGTGTTTATTTTTATACTTATATTTGTGGTATATTTCGAGCTAATATAATAAAATATGTATTAAATGATAAAGCAATTATTTATAATTCAAGTTTTCATAATTTTAAAACCTAAGACAGCTAAAAATTGATTTTCATTTTCTTACACTGAGTAAATTAAGTTTTTAAGTCTTTTCCCTTATTTTCTCTTATTTTGCTTCTGAAAATATTATTGCTATTTTATGCAAAGAAAATCAGTAATTCAAGAATAATGTATATTAGCTATGAATCAGCAAATATGACTTAAATACTTTCTTTGCCTCCAGGTTAATTGAAGAATCAAAAGAAAAGGAAGGAAAATCCCAAACATCGATTCAAATTTCTTTTCGCAGTCCAGACACTGGTGAAGAAATTGTAAGTTTATTCTCATTAAATATCTGATTTAATAGTTAATATAGTGAAGGAAATCATATTTGTTATTTCTTAAAATTATTTTTTAGAAAGACTTTTTAAAATAAAACAAAAGTTAATATTTTATTAATGGCATATCTCTGCATTATAATTTTTGTCTTCTTTGCTTAAACATAATTTGTAAAATAATATTTCCGAATTCGTTTTTCATTTATATGTAAAATCGGTAAAAATTTGAGCTTTGCAATAATGAGTGTAATACAAGAGTTTTGACATTTCAACTATTAAGGTCTTAAGTATGTTGCACAAAGTTGTTTATTACTGTTCTTTTGGAAGGCTGTTTCCTTTCTCCTTAATTTTTTATTCTTAAATTGCATTAGTTAATTAATATCTCAGAAGGTGTCTAAATGATAAAACACAGACTGTTCATGTAATTATTTACATAATAATGCATTATATATTTATTATAGTAATATCTATATTATTATCTTATTCCTATTCTCTACAGAGCATATATTATCGTTATATTATATCTCTTTTATATTATTATTTACTTACTTTTGTAAACGTCATAGCACACTTGTGGAACAAGAAAGTTTTGCATTTGTTTTTTAAAATAAAATAAATTTCATCTGAAGTATTTCTGAATTTTTATTAACTGTATGTTTTGAACTGATAAATCTTGCGTTTCTTTTTTCAGTGTAAAACTATCAAAGTTGACAATAGACTTACAGTACAAGATTGCATTAAATTGGTTCTTCAGCAGCTTGGTTATTCTGTAAGTAATTAGAAGGATATTTTGTTTTTAGTTTTCATTTCTATATTTGTACCACTTTTATGATTAACTTTTTTTTTTAAAGGAAAATGGAATAAAAGATTATAAATTATGGGTTAAAACTGGAAAAGATGATGCTCCATATCCACTTATAGGTAAATTAATATATTATTATATTAAGTCTTCTATTTTTATGTTAATTCTAGTAGAATTAAGAAATTTTTAAAAGGGAAAATATGAAATTTTAAAAATGTACTTTTTAGTACTGACTGACTATAGAACTTAATTTATTGAATTTACTCCTCAGTTAATTCTTAAGAATAATTTATTGACTTTTTCTTTGATTAATTATTAAAAATAAGGTACTTTTCCATTTTGCCGGTGCAAGCGATAAAGTCGCCAAAAATGGTACAACCGATGCCAAACAGAATATCTTCGCTGGTAACCTTTTACGCCTCATTTTCAAAACAAGTCGCAGCCATTTCTTATCAGATTGATTGTTTCTTTCAATACTGGCATACCAGATTAACCAGGTAGCTCAGTTTTATGTCCGTTTATTAGCGGTAATTAAGTTAATTATGTCCATTTTATTCGTGGTAATTAAGTTAATTAGGATGCAATCACATTGCTCATCCGAAGGCGAAAATATAGAAGAGGCAAAGTCAAGGATTAAATTCATCCATTCTAATGAGAATGCACTATCGGAGTAAAGCAGTGCGGGTTTACATACATAATTTCTGAGTAAGCTATTCGTACGAATTGAAATAATTCTTGCATTTAAACTTGTATTCCAAATCAAGATTTAACTTGAAATTAATGTAGATAATTACTGACAGAATTAGATTTTTGTAGCGTAATTTACGTGAGATGAGATCACTTGGGGGTCACGTGATATGAAGCGGCGAATAAGGATGTTGTACCATGAAAGCATAGTAATTCTTAAATTAATGTCTTTTTACAAATTTATAGTCTTTATTTATTGTCTTTTTACAAAAGTTTAAACGATATTAAAACGGTTATGCCTTTAAAATAAAAGTTTCTTAGAACTAACATTTGTTAACATTTTTTATGTGTATACTGTGTGTTGTCGCCAATAAAGTCTGCTTGGCGAGACTTGCGCCGGCGAAACGGAAAAGTACCAAAAATAATTTATATTACATTGCTTTGTAATCAAAGAGATTCTCTTATATGTATTAAAACATATAAAATACTTTTATTTGTTAAGATTTAGGCAAATTATAATTATATACCTCCCAGGAAATTTTTTTTTCAATTAATGTTTGATTTCAAGTACTTATCGAGTTTATTGAGAATCTTTGTGTTTTTTTAAATATGCTTTTTTTAAAAAACATTTTTATGATTGCAAATATTTTGCTTTTCTAGAACTTAGTGATTCTAAAAGTTGTAAAAGACCTTAATTCATTGACTGTACGTTGTATTTACAGGTCATGAATATCCCTTCAGTATAAAAATGAATTTTATTCGAGATTTATTGAGGCAGTCCGAGTTGGATCTCCGGAATTTAAGCAACATCAGCACTGATTCTAAATGTTATTTTATTCTTCGCAGAAACACGCTGAACTCCTCAATTAGAGTTGGTAAGTTAATTTAAATTATATTCTGTAGCATACTTTTAAAAATAATTTCACAAGCCTTTTTTTTTTTTTTTTTTTTTTTTGTGTGTGTGTGTGTTATTTTTTACTACTAAATTTAATTTTATGTTCCTGATTGTGTAGAAATTGTTTATAATCCTAACTAAACAAATTTTATGTTTCATGAGTATAATCATTTTTCACTCAGTTTATAGTAATTTAAATTAAAAAAAATTTTTTTTTCATAGATCCAAGACTGCAAAAGAAAAGAAAAAAGCATCGTCGCCCTCATCATAAAATCAATTGGCTGTTTAGGCGTCCTGCTGCCAAGCATGATTCAGTGGACAGTGGTAATAGTAGCCCACCTCCTCATAGCTTATTTGGTTTATCTTTGTGGAAATTATGTCCAAATAATACTATTCCAAAACCTATTATGGTGAGTATCATTTACGTTGCTTACCTCAGAAATATTTTAATAATTTATTATTGTTATTGCAATTTATGTATTGAATAATTTATTATTGTTATTGCAATTTATGTATTGAAAAAATACAAAATTGCATAGTGTAGAACTGACAAATATTGTCCTTAGAATGTGAAGTGGTAATTAATTTTCCAGTTACATCTGTATTTAATATGTGAAAATCAACTTGAAATTATATGTTAATGTAAATGTTAAAAAAATTCCTTTTGTTAACCAAGCATGACAGTTAAAAATACTGGTTTTGAAAATGTTGGATGCTTATGTATTAGACAGGCACAAACGACTTTGCATTTTCTTAATCACTACTGGTGAGATATCGAAAGTCAGAAGCCTGATAATCCTGTCAAAACATAAATAAATAAAAAAACTTGGTTGTGTTAGATTAAGTTGTACTGAACTAACATAATTGTATGACTGGATTTTATACCCATTAGAGAAATATCAGAAAGAAAAGATGGTCCAGATTTGGTCCTTGGAGCAGTCAAAAGCCTATTAAATTTGTGATCTTAGTTGTATTTTTTTTACAGCATTAGGTTGATATCTGTTGAGGGACTTTATGAATGCTTTCGTATTCAAGTTCAAATCATGAATTCATAATATATTTGCGTTAATGAAAATTTGATGCCTGGAATTGGAAACAGCTAAATTTTGAACATTTCATTCATTCATAAATGTGATTTTAAAAATCCAAATGTTGGCTGCTGAACAAATATGGCATCATAATTTCATCCCTTATGTACTTTTCTGTTATTGAGATTGGATTCAGAAATGTATGTATGCGTGCATATACATCCTTTGACAGAAAAATTCTAGGGTCATAAAAAATAGAATATTGCATTTACCAAGTAATGATCCTAGCTGCTACCTCTTGGCTATCTATACACATCTGCCAATGTTTCTGGAGGTCTTGAAAGCAAGCAAGAAAATTTTCAACTGCATTGCCTCACCTTAGGTCAGGGTCCACCCCCTCTTTCAATCGAGCTGCAATGCTTGCAAGTTCATTTGTCACAGCCTGTTGGTTTGTCTGCAATAATCTTGATCAAGCTTTCCTTTCAGTTTACGTTTTCACTTATGGAAACAAGAAAATATCAAATAATCTTTGATATAGATGTGGGATCATGTCTCTCTCTATCCAGTAGTTCAGCAGAAATTCTTCGTTTTTCCTCTTTCTGTTCATCTCTTAGTGAGTGAGGGATGATTCTTGCATTAAGTTTCCATTTCCCTAAATCTTCGCGTAAAATTTTGTGACACACATCACGATTCAAATTCAGTTCTTCTGATATATACGCACCGTTACTTGACAGTCTTCTTTCAATAACTACCTTACACGCTCCATGTTTGCATCGAATGTGCTGTAGATGGGCGACCAGCTCTGGGATCGTGTTGCACTGCATCTCTGCTTCACAAAACCTTTCGTGCCACTCGAAAACACGATTTCTTGAAAGTGTCTCACCAGCATATGCTTGCTTAATCATGTTTCATGTTTCATTAGGGAGTTTCCCCGAGCTTAATGTAGAACTTTGTTCATGATTAGCATCCATTCTGTCACTTAAATGAATGCGAAAACAATCCGAACAGGGTGTTGCTAAGCACAGCCCTGTCTCCTAGTAAGTTTGCACGGAAACATAGCCAAGGTCATGTCAAGTAAAAAAATATACCAGGTAACATAAAAAACATTTCTTTCTTTTTTAGTACTGCAAACCCAGAAATTTGGAATTTTTCTGACAAAGAAGGTATGCATATGCACACACACATAAATATTTCTGAATCTGGTCCTGATAACAAAAAAAATACCCAATTTATTACACCCTTGCTGCTAACTATTATAAAATCATATTACCTAGTTAATAGATAAATATCAAATATTTTTACTTCCTTGTAAGTAAAAAGGAAGTATTGTAATCGCGAAAAGTTTCAGGCAGCATATTTCAACAAAAATATCCATTTTGACCGCTATCGAATGCAATTTAATGATGTTTTTGCGTGATATCTGTACGTAAGGACAGAATAAAAGACTCTTTTCCTTCAAAAAAATTATAAAACTGCTTTAAAATTAATTCTGAAGAGAATTTTTCGTGGCGTCTGTACGAACGTATGTAAAGTACGTATCTCGCATAACTCAAAAACGAGTAGCCTCAGAGCGTTGAAATTTGTATATAGGACTGCTATAACATGTAGATGTGCACCTCGTACTTTGGTTGCAATCGGCCACACCAAACGTATATAAATATTTTATATATATACCACTCTTTTACCCGGCTCAGTGATCTCAGTTTCTTTACTCTTATATGTTTGTAAATTGTACATTTTTTTCTTTAAAAAATGATTGAATTATATTGTTTTTATCTTATGGTTAAGGATTTTATGCCTTTAGTAAATCTGTGTGCAATAATTTTAGAATTATCAGCAATTTTAAAGTTGTTTAATTGCCGCTAAGCCTGTTTTTAATGGCGGCCATTATTGTTTACATTTGAAACAGGAGACTAGTGGATTTCTTGCCAATCTAGAGAAACTTAGCTTCGCAACAACAAAGATAATGCATTCATTTATTATTGCCAATTAAATCATGCTTAATCCTTTCTGGAATTTTTTCGAGGAAATAAGTGTTTGAAATTTACTTTGTAATTTTTAATATAGATATTTTGAGTTTTTATGTATTTTTGCCTTCTTGCGAAGTAAGAACTGAATTAATTAAATGAGAAATACTCAATCGTCTGTGAAAAACTGTTTCTTTTTTGTTTTGTTTGCTTAATTTCTTTATACATCATTCTAGCTTTATTATAGTATTTGAATATAACATGGGCAACGATTAGATAATTTTTAAATGATATACATTTTGTGCATTCTGAGTTATATATGAATGAAAATATAATACTGTTAAGTAATCCTAGCGCCAGAGTGTCGCTATGGTAAACAAAGTGAATTTTAAAGAATGCATTTATTCTATTGTGGTTTATGCGCTGTCGGCGAAGTAGGTTTAATTCAATCTAATAAGTTTAAATAAAATGCAAGAAAAAATGCATATAATTTAATATTCCGTACAAGGAAGTCATGTGGTGTACACATCAGATATTTTATTTTATATGAAAACGATTGTACTTGTGGATTTATATTAGATAATGCATGGATATTATTGATAATGCTAAATTCAACCGTAATTAAACATTTAACTGTTTCAAGGGGCTTCAAAAGAATTTTGTTTTGTAACTGTTATATACTAACTATGTACTAAAAATGTTTTTTAAAATTGTAAAATTACTTGTTATTAAAATTAATGTACAATTTTTTAGTCTATGCTGGTGCAGCTGTTCTTGCAAGGCCCATTTACCGTAGGCATCTTTCGCAAATCAGCGAATGCAAGAGCATGCAGAGAGTTGAAAGAGAAATTGGAAGCCGATCCTGATTGTGAGATGAGAAATGTCCCTATCATTGTACTTTCTTCTGTTTTTAAGGTAAGTTAAAAAAAATGCAATAAATTTTCCATATCTGTCTATACATCCAGTCTGCATTCATTTCTGGGAGGCAAAATCGTTTTTGAATATTAGTGCATATTGTATGTAATATTGAATATTATTGTTATGTATATTGTTATGGTATTAACTTTAAAAATGGAAAACAAAGTAAGTTTTGCCGTTTTAATAAGCTTTCGAAGTTACCATCATCAGAAGTGTCATCTAATCTTTAATTAAGGATTTAACACTGATGAAATGAAAACTAATTATTTTAAGTCGGAGCAAAAATTTATGCTGTAGTATTATAATTATTAGAATGAATTCCTTTCACTGAATTTTTTATATTATCATATTTTTAAATTGACTTACATTTTTTTAACTTTAGGAATTTCTCAGGAGCCTTCCAGATTGCCTTCTTCAGTCTGATCTGTACAAACATTGGTTACAGGCTGTTTCTTATGAATCTGAGTGGGAATGTAAAAAACGTGTGTTAAGGTATATAAAGGCAGACTTTTTTTTTCATATTAGGATAGTATTTGTTTAAATATGATTTATATTGCCTTTTTACTTTGTGTGTGGTAACATTAAAAATATCCTGTTAATTCTTGTGTGCTAAAAGTATTAACCGGTAAAAATTTATTTAGTGCTAAAATATTAATCCCTAAATATATTTATTAACCACCAATCTGAGTAGTTTGTTATTCGTAAACAAAATCAAGTACAACAAATAACAGTGATATGTTGTCAAAAGGACAATAAAAGGCAGTTGTCTCGAAAGTCAGAAAATACTTTTGAACTTAATTCATTCTGGGAATAAAGTTATTATGCATAATCTTCTAATTCCATTTTGTACATGTAAGCAGTAATGAAAATAGTAATTTTTTTCATACACAGGAAAACTAAAAATAAATCTTCCCCTCCCCTTTTCTTTCTTTTTACCGTCTTGTGCGAAGTAAAGAAAGTATTGTAGTCGCAGATATTTTGGGGTGTCTTATTTCAACGAAAATATATATTTTGACTGCTATTGAATGCAATCTAAAGATGTTTTTGTGTGACATCTGTACATAAGGACAGAATAAAGGACTCTTTTCCCCAAAACGAGTTTCAGACGGGATTTAAAAGGGATTCAGAAGAAATTTTTTTTCATGACGTCTGTACATCCAATTATATGTATCTTGCATAACTAAAAAATGAGTAGCCTCAGAACATTACTATTTTGTATATAGGACTGCTATAACATGTAGTTGTGCACCTTCCTTTTTGGTTGCAATCGGCCGTGCCAAAAATCTCTCTCTCTCTATATATATACACACACTCTGTTACTCGACTCCGTGAGCTCAGTTTCCTTTATCCTTATATGTTGGTAAATTGTGCATTTCTGCTTTAAAAATGATTGAATTATGTTGCTCTTATCTTCCGGTTAAGGCTCTTTAGTTAATCTGCATGCAACAGTTTAAGAATTATCAACAATTTAAAAGTTGTTTAAGTGTGGCGAAGCCTAATTTTTTTACTGTAGCGATCAAATTTGTTTACATTTCAAACTTAGCAGAATAGTTAATGAAGTCGGTTTCTGCACCTTCAGTGTCTTTTTGCCGAGTGGGACTAAAAGTAAACTTTCAATTTTGTGTACCGAAAAATTTGCCATCTTGCCTGCTGTTTTTGGCGTAGAAACTAATTGGAATTATGAAAAAAAAAATTTTCATTGTTTTATATTTTTCCACTTTAATCAAAGATATTTTGAGGTTTTATGTATTTTTGCATTGTCGCGGAATGAAAAGTGAATTAATTGAATGAAAACTGTATCTCTAATAAAATTCGAGGAAATGAGTTTAAATGAAATGCAGAGAATTTAATATTCCGTACAAGGAGGTCATGTGGTGTACACATCAGATTTTTTAATATGGTATAATAAAATTGTTAATTTGCAAGATAACTTCAAACATGTCATCTTTGCCATTCATAAAATTGAAACATGGGATACATTTTGAGAGTCATTTATTCATTTTCTTGCTTTTATCTTAAAACGGAAAAAAATAATGCAGACATTAAACTTTCTTTATTGAACAAAATAGTAGAAAAAAGAATATGTACATGAGATGATACATAGATGCTATTTGTCTGTAAGAGTTAAAGTTATTATTTTTAGTGGCTTTTGTTGAGATTTGTAATAGAATTTCAATCTAATGTAGTGCATTTAATGATTGAATTAAGAATTTTTATTAAAACTGAGCCTAGAAATAGAATTTATGGGAAATACATCCAAGTTGTACTTTTATTTAATAGAAGTTTGTCATGACAAGATTATTGTGGTTATTTTGTTTTCTTCTATTAGCACTTTGTAGTTTAAGAGGTTTTTACATAGCTTAAATTGCCCTCTAATTATAATATAATTATAAATGAATCTTTTGTTACCATGTAATAGTTTTAAATTAACTATTTTCTTTTAATTTTTTAGTTTATTGGCACAATTACCTCCTCCTAATATTCGCCTTCTCCAGTATGTTCTGTGTATGCTGTGGCACATTTCTCAGCATTCAGCAGAGAATAAAATGTCTTCTATGAACTTGGCTGTATGCATTGGACCAACACTTCTCAACCCAGGAAAATTCCAGTCTCCTGTGTTGGAACAAGAGGTAAATTTATTTACCTGCTGTTTGAAGAAATAATTTAAGAAAACTTATGTTAGTTAAACTGCTGAAAATTTTATCATCAAGCTGTTTTGCATGCTTCAGTTTCTTGGACCAGTATTGGTCTAATTAATTGAGGTGCAGTATTAGATCACATGTAGCACATTTATTTAAATTTTCTCCAAGAAATTCAGTCTTTTTCATAATTGTGTTTAATTTAGTTTTAATGCTGAATTTGTGTTTCTTAGTTAGATGAATTTATTGGCCTTAAAACTGAATCTCGTAAATTTGCTTTCCCAATGAAAATGTTTAAATGCTGAAAGATTTAGAATTATGTGAGACAGTACCTAAATGAGAAGTAGGAATTTCCAGGGTCAAGTATAAATGGAAATGCACAAAATTTTAAAATTTTCCATTTATTTACATTAACACAAATAATATTGAACAATGAGTGTTACATGCTCTGCCATTACGCAGTTCATCATAAAGTGGTTTGTGTCATTTTTCTCTTTCATTTAAAAATATTTGAATTTTAACGAGTGTAGTAAGAAGGATGCCAACTTAAATTTTGACAGATAATAAAATGCAACTTTTTATTGTTGTCTCAATATATATATAATTTAAATTTAAAAGGAGGTAAAACATCCTAATTCTTTTGTTGCATTTCTCATGAAATTTTTATGCAAGTTGATCATGTTAATTATTAGATAATGTAAAATATACTCTAAGTTTGTTGTAGCAAATTTAAATTATAACCGTTTTAATTAATTGTGTGCAACTAATTTATTTATATAATTTAAATTTAAAAGGAGGTAAAACATCCTAATTCTTTTGTTGCATTTCTCATGAAATTTTTATGCAAGTTGATCATGTTAATTATTAGATAATGTAAAATATACTCTAAGTTTGTTGTAGCAAATTTAAATTATAACCGTTTTAATTAATTGTGTGCAACTAATTTATTTATTTTGTTATGTTGCAGGATGTGGCTAAAAGGGTTCCTAAAACAGTTGCTTTTCTGATTGACCATTGCGCTGAATTATTTGGAGATCAAGTGTTACAGCTTCTTGGTTCATTTCCAGAAAGAGATGGTTCCAGACAAGATTCAGGTGCAGAAGAATCTGACAGTTTACACAGTCTTCATGACCTTGCAAGTAAGTGATCAAAAAATATTTTTAGTTGTGTAGAAAAGTATGGATTTAGTAGATTGATTTGACAAATATGAAATCAATGATTTGCTAATTGTACATATACCATGCATACAGGGTCAGATTAACACTTATAGAAGCTCTAAGTGCTTAAAAGATTTTTGTGTCCCCTCCTATATTTACACCACCTGTTTTTCATTCTTTTTCTTTGCTGGTTTTTGTTTTCATTTTTTTTTTCTTTGCTGGTTTTTTTTTTTTTTTTTCCCAAATGCCAGTTTTACCATGGATGCATTCCATGGTAAAACTGGCATTTGGAATTTTTTTGGTGCCCTACTTTCTGCATACCTAAGGAAAATATCTTTTCTTTTGGTGCTCTAAGCATATGCTTATATTGGTTATTGGTTAATTCAGCCCTGCACACATGCATGCACACTTAAGGGGGGGGAAGGCACAGGAAAGAAAAATCTACTTAAAGGATTTTTTTTTTTTTTTTTTTAAATTGAAAGATCTTATGTTAAGTTGCACTTCTTTACAATGTAATATCAGCTTCTCCAGTTCTGCTGCTAGCCATTTCGTTATTCCACAGTTGTGTATAAAGTCTAAGCTTATTTTTGGTGACGATTGAATTGATTTTTCAATGTGTGCAAAGAAGTTAGAATTCTGAAATTTTGTTTGCAGATGCATTCAGTTCTGTTCCATTTTTAAATCTAGTAATGGGCAGTCCCATTATAAAGGCATCTCATCAGATGGCTAGGCCATGTGTTTAGATATGATGATGCATTTCCAGCAAAAGAGATAATCTTTTCGAGAATTGAGGGAGTAAGACAAAAAGGAAGACCACCTACTAGATGGATAAATTATGTCGAGGAAGATTTAAAGTTAATTGGAGTCGTTCGATAGAGGGCTATTGCGCCGAATGGGGTCAGGTGGAGGAAACTTGGAGAGACAGCCTTGGCCTGTAACAGGCTGTGGAGCTTATGAAGAAGTAGGCAGTCTCTACTTTGAATAAACTTTTAATTTCCATAGAGGTTTATTACTTGATGAGCTCATGCAGTAAGAATACTTCATTGCCAGAAACTTTTCTAAATCTTTTATCGCATGTACTGTATTTCTTACATTTAAGAAACCATCCTAAAAGCTACATTACTTTGTATGGGCATCTATGATTCGCCTTCAAATTTATGTCTTTCTAGAATTCTGAAAGGAATATGTCTGTCACTTTTCTTAGTCATTTAACTGTGTTCTTGATGTATTCAAACATGCAGTAAACAAAATTTCAGTTTTGCTATAACTATGAATTATTTTAAGCCCTTGTTCTGTTGTGTGCTTGATTAATGCATTCCTAATTTCCATATTCTTTATATGTAGAATCTTTTTACATTCTGATTTAAATAAAGCCCTTGAAATTCAGTATTTGAGTGAAATTTCAAGTAAATTTTCCAGTAAAACGTGATTTTTTTTTTTTTTTTTAAAATTATTCTCTAATTTTTCATGCCATTGTGTTTGAAAAGTGCCTGAAAGTAATCTATTATTGTCTGAGCTATTTAATTGAAAGTGGTTTGACTGATGCGAGTCAATTTTGATTTTTTTAGTTATAAAATAACATACAAATTATTTAAGATTTATTTATGAATATTTTATGAATCAAATGTTTTATTATAAATAGTTTTCTTTAACATACTCCTCATTGTAAAATAAGCGTGTTTTAATTATTTTAGGTCAATACAGAAGAGATGATTCATCAATTGACAGCTTAGACCGTGACTTTCTCGATGAGATAGAACCTAGTCCTAAACTGCCATGCAAAAGCAAAATGTCTCTCACAAATCTGAGTCGGGATTCTGGTCTTACTCTTAGTGATACTCAGTTATATACTCCAGAGGAAGAGGCTGAAAGTGAATCATCTAGTGCAGATAGCAGACGAGGAAACACTGCAGCATTAACCAAAAGTGTTCCCCATTTAGATACAGCTGGATTGGACTGCAATACTGCATCATATGGTAAAAATGCCGGTGTAAGCATCGATGGCTCTTGCCACGATGTTGTGCGTAAAAGACGACAGGGCATGGAAGCTCACAGGACGAAATCTCTTGTTGCCGGTTCATCTTATCAGCATGCAGACTATCACTATGAAGAAAGTACACACTTGCCTTTGCAATTATCTCAGTCTTACAGTTATAGTATGCAACAAGATCTCATGGATAGAGGATACGATAATTTTGTGCGCAATTATCACAATCCTGTAAGGAGGCGGGATGTTCGAGGACGTTCGGCTACTCAGAGACCAATTGTGTCAACAGTAGAGTCAGTGGACAATTATGTAGAAGGAACTTTACGCAGAAGTGCTTCAGAAGAAAGCTTATTGCAAAAATATGGTAACTCATCAGCTCCCAAAAGAGTTTTAACACAGAGAAAACGAAGGGCACCTTCTCCTCCTGCCCAAAAAGGTACAGTTTCTGCTCCATGTAGTACCAAAAAGACTGATAACTCTATGAATAATCTCGCTCGTGAATTATCCAGTTGCTCTGTAAGTAGGGCGCCAGACAGGCATGCTGTATGGTTTGCAACACATTCTAGGCGAACTGACTGGAAAAGAAGTCAGTCAACATCCAAGATCGATGAGATCGATCAAGCTCACGATTCGAGTACATTATCACTTGTTTCTAGTGAAGACAGTACACCACAAGTTTCACGTAGTAATAGCAGAGTTCAAGAACTGAGTTCAAAATCTCATGGTGATTTGTATAATATGTACTATAGTCCACCTAGAGTGAACAGTATTTGCAGTTCTACTTCAGATGGTAGCCAACAATCTCACCATTCTCGTTGTTCACAATCCTCCATAAAATCGAATAGTTCGCACAGGTCTCAGAGGTCAAGTTGTTCTTTAAGCAGTTCTCCTGCCAAACCATGCGAACCCCCCAGTTATCTAGAAGCTATAAACCGACAGACAATGCTTAAACACATGCAGCAGCCAAATGCTAAACAAGTTACCGAAGAAATGAGGGTAGAGCAAATGTCACTGAGTGCTAAAGCTCGAGAGTTATACGAAAACTCTGTTCGAATGTACTCACAACAGATCCCCGATACAGAAGAGACTCACAGGGCTGTCCCTGCTAATGTAGATTGTGTAGATGGTATTCATAAGGCATCTATATCTGTGAAATCAACACAAACTTCTCCCAGAGCAGGTAGCCAAGATGGAGCACATCCTAGATTGAGGCATTTACCACCGGTGCATGTGACTGATGCTCAGCTGAGTAGAGTAAGAAACTTCCATATCAGGCCAAGGCATACAAGGGAAGTACTACCCGAGGAACTCCGAAAAGAAATAAATTGGAGTGTTGCTCAGCTGCGTGACTTGTTTAATGCCAGAATGCAGGAAAGTAAACCTTGCACTTTTCAAGGAACCTTCTTAGAAAAGAGTGAAGAAATGGGCAGCGGCAGACATCCCAGACGCATGGGCCAGCAACAGCACACACGTAGTCGAAGTCTGAGTACAAGGAGTGAAGAGGAATCTTTTGTCTAAGTCTGACTTTGAAAAAAATGAATCACTAAATGTAGAAAATTTTTCATTTTATTTTAACAGTCCTTTCTGGAAAAGTTCTCTCAACAGAAAGTAGCCATTCATTTCATGTATAAGATTCAATAACAAATAATTTGGAGTGGATATATACATCCCATTACTTCTACATTTAGTGATTCAGTTATGTACATAGTCCCTTTCTCCTCAGGTTTGAATCTATAAAGACCAAAAGTTTAATGTGTGTTCATTGTACATTTTCACTGGTGTAACATTTTAACAATATTATGCATTTATTTACTAAAGATTGTGCAATGTGTTGTCATGAGACTACTCCCTTTTGTAAATAAGAAGTCCTAGCCTTTTTTGTAAGATAATGGAAAATTGCATGATTTACTGCTGCTTCCACCCTAGTCCAAGTCCGGACTTCCTCTCTAAAATTATCTATAAATATAGTTTCTGTATTTAATTAATTACCCTGTCTTCTCTTTGTTGCATTAACATTTGAAGATCAGTTTTCTTGCCCTGCGTAAGATGCCAATTTTGAAGCTCATTTTTTTTGTACATTTATTGTATACAATTTTTTTTCTATAAAATTAAAAAAAATATATTCTAGAATTTTGTTTTCTTTTATTCATTTTAATTCATTTATAACATTTAATTCTGAAGTAATCATATGTATATATTTACCAAAAGTATACATTCTGTAACATTCAATATTTTCATTAATAGATTGTTCCAAATTCAGTATTTTATCAGCCTTTTGACCACAGATAAGCTTTAAAATAATTTTTGATTCTCAAGGAACATCATATTGCAGAGATAAAGAAAGTCATAGAATGTGTTCTGTGAAACATCCTATCCTAGGCAGACAGCTTGTGATTATATAGTTAATCAAACAGTCCAAATTATTAAAAAAATTTGTAATTTATCAAAAAAAAATTATTATGATTTTATTTCATGATATTCTAAGATAATTATTTGAACTTCAGATTAAGTAATTCCAAATTAATTTTCATTGCTGTTTTGAACGGAATTCTGAGTGGATATTTCCTAAATCCCATAATGCAATTTTAAGTTTGCATTGTGAGAGTAACTTAACACACAGAAAATATTAATTCCTATGTATTTTAGTAGTATTCAGAACTCAGCTTATTTTTTCTAATTTATCCACTAAGTTTGCATGAATTTTTGTTTACCTCACCAGGGCATTAAGAGGTAAAGATAAAGTAAGCTAAATCCTCCATGGAATAAAAATGTTTATTTAAACCATATTTAATTGTAAAGGAAAGGACGAAAATTCTTGCATACTGCATGGCAAGAGGAGTACATGATCTTCAACTCACCAGTTTTGCTAATCGGAGATGTAAGTGAATATCTTACTATCCCATAGTATTAGGAAATAGACAAGAAAACTCATGCCTAAATCATTAAATGGTATATTCTTAACATGCCTCTGCAGGTGCCAGTAGTTTTGTATGCAGTACTTCAGTAAAAACTCCACAGTATGAATACCTGTTTGCAGGATAATTATTTTTAAAATTATAATGCAGTTTAATTCTTTTAGAGTTTTTTTATTTTGAAGGAAAAGTTTTTTATGAAAAGTACTTTAAAAGGAGTAATACAAAAATTTCACAAAGAAAAGCAGTTTTTTTACTTTCTTTATACAGATTATACTTTCCCACAAGCCTACTCATACATTTTCAATTCCACCTTTTAAGGTTGGCAGGTAGCCCAAGAAGCTTTTGTTTCAGTATCGGTTATACAGATATATAACCACTACAATAATTATGCACTTCCCATCCCAATTTTGAGGAACATCTCAGGAATAGTCCAAGGGTCTCCTAATTTTCTTCCTGTGCCAGTAAAAACCACTTGAGAAGAGTTTCAGTTTGGTACTAATTTTAAATGCCTCTCACACAGACACTATACAATCTCCAGGATTTGAATCTCAGTCTATCAGTATCGCAGCTAACCACTATACTGATTAGGGAAGATAATATGTATAAGGTGAGTCAGAAATATGGCTTACATTTGAAATAAATGTTTTGCAGTATATTGAAAAAAGAAATACAGTCAAAAGTCGTTAATTCGGACCTCAAAGCTACAAACTTTCTGCACATGTGCCGCGTTGACTTTACGGCTGCGAATATGCGTGTGCGCATGCACATAATACATTTATGCATGCGCGTTTAATGTACAACGGATGGTATAAGCTAAGCTCAAATTATCTGATTCAGTTAATGTTGCAGATTGCGTTGTTCTTTAATCTTCGAATTGGATCCGACTTATTATTTTTTGCAGATTGTTAGAGCAATTTTATAAAAGTAAGCTTGAACTTTCGATTATGTCAAATAGAATTTCCGATATATATTTACTAATATGTAAAGGATCTACAAAGCGAAAATATGTTTCGAAGTCCATTAAACAAAAAGTAGACTTGCTGCAAAAAATGGATAAAGGCATACATATCCTTTGTTTCTCTAACCCTTCCGAAACCTGTTTATCAATTTCACGCCGCAGTGCCCAATGAATTGGAAGTTGATCTGTCAGCACTATCCTTATCTTCAGGGAAGATGTTTTTATTTTATTTGGCTTATAATTCCTTACTAAATGTAGTATTTCATCTTGATGTACTCTGTCTTTGATATGATTTAAATCAAATTCCTCATCATTATAATTCACTTCCGATAGCGAAAAAGTGACACAGAGGTTATTGAAAACGAAAAAATTTTGATTGACAAATTAGTCTGTATTCTCAACACAGCAATTATAGGACTTGAGCAGCGGAACTTTGTAACTGATGAAGAAATTATGTCTGTTTATAAAATTAAAGAGAAAGTATTATCACATAAAACGAAGCAAATTAAACAACTTACATTGAAAGAAATGTTTAATAAAGTAAACAAATAAATATTAAGCTTTTTTTTTTTTTTGTAAATTTTGATACAATTTAGATCATAATTGTTCTTTATTTCATAAATTACGGTTTCATATTTTTAATTTTATAATTTCTGCATGCCATCTTACCAGATTTAAACTGATGATCTATAATCCGGAATCGCCGAAGTCCCGACGAGTCCGGATTAAGGACTTTTGACTGTAATAGAGTTAACCGAGGTGACTGACTAGAATCATCATTAAGCACCAAGATCATTTTAGTGTAGTATTGATACCATCAGTATTTGGAAAGTGACTTCTTGCAATGAAAAAAATCCAGACATGTAAACTTTCTGCAAGAACCACAGTAGCAGCATTATATTAACATCTGTAATGATTGTGGGAGTTTTCACTAATAACCTATGGAGAAAAGTAATAAAGTGAGTCTGACTGGTATTTATTGTTCTTCATTTTAAAGTTCTAACTTTCTAATAGCACTAACTTCTTTGTAGTTCATATTTGTAACTTATACTGTGTATGAAGAAATTGCAAGAGTCCAGTAACCTTAAAAGTGTTCATTCAGTCCTTTGTAATACAAAGCACCATCCAAATATCATAGTGTATTTGTATCAACATGTACTGCAAAGAAAATCTTTGAACCTTCCATTATTGAGAGTGTTTTTTTTTTAATCAATTGCTGGGAATTTTCAAGAAAATTCTGTTACAAAAATTCACGAGGAAAGAGTAAATCATCTCTTAGAGCATAAAATGTTCTCCCGGGGAAGATATTCACTCATTTTCATCAATGCAGTGCACTAGAAACTGGGCCAAACTTTTATTATTCATAAGGGAAAATATATACTTTAAATTTAAAGCATGCCGTGTAAATATGCAGATTTTTTCATTGATATTTAATGACTTTTCTGTTCAGTTATTATTAGCCTGATAATTTACAACATATATTCATTTAAACAGCTAACAATAACTAGATACCATGTTATATTGGAACATTATTGGTCAAATTTTTCAACAGCATTGTACATGGACTAATAAAATATCACGTAAAATACTCATATGCTGACTGACTACAAATATGTGTAAAGATTTAGTTTCTAATAAGATGTATTTTAATAAATGTTATCTTAATACCATCCCTGCCCCTTTTTGGGGAAGACTTTACTTTGCTTTAAAAATTTACATAAAAATAACATGAACTTATATACCATCTATAGTTCCCATAACTACATAAATAAACTTTTACTTGCAAAAGAAATTAAATACATGTCAACAAACTGTAATGAGTTTCAAAGAAATGATAATTTAGTTTCTGCATCTGATCAGATAAGAAATGGATTGTCTTCTAGAAAACTATGAAACTTGACTAATCAATCCCAATAAAAAATTATTACTACTACCAAATCTACCATGAAATATTAACATTATTAAAAAATCACATTTTAATTGCAATTATATTGTCACAGTTATTATTTTATGTATTTTACTAGTCGTCAATAAATTCACGATATATTAATGCAAGTTATTGTTCGTATCCTTCGAAATGCATATTCCTCTCTAAAATGTACATTTGTAATTTTGAACAATCAATTTATTCATAAAAGTATAAAAAAACTAAAAATGATTAGCAAAAATTATTTCTGAATTTACCTTTAATGCCCAAGTTCAAAAATAATCTGTAATTTGCTGCTGACGAGATTTAAACTGCACAAACATTTTATCTATATTTTTGTCCAGCAGTTGAAAGAACACATCACTTTCGGGTATATAGCTTGTATGAATAAAAAACCTAAATGACATGTAATGATTAAAGGCATTTACTTTAGTAGGGAATTCACTTTCCATGTGTACTAGGGCTATTTTCCTAAGGAAAAAACCATCTTCATAGAGGATTTTCTGAGCAAAACTAGCTCGTGTCTACGTTACACATAGCAAAAACCACGAAAGCACCCAAGATATTAGTCCATTTTTTGGATTTGAATCTAGATCGAACTACTAGTGTTCAGCAACTTTAATTCTTGTCCACTGGTGGACTCATAGCATGTTGAAAACGGTTTCAGATCATCAGATTCTGCAACGCTGTCAATTCTAGCATTGCTTCAAGAAGTTTTTTTTCCCCAATGGCGGGCACTTGCCTATAGCGGCATTGGCCACTACTACTAAGGACAGAATTGGTGGCCATTTTATTGTGGAGGAATCTAATGGACAGCCATCGCTACCTGAAGATAGGACCGATGAAGGGACAGACAATTTTATATCCACGCCTTCTCCGGATTCGAGCCCGGGCCCTTCGGTATCACAGTCAGGCTCCCCTAACCACTATACCGTCTGAGTGTCTGCATGAAGAAGTAAAACAGCACAATCTGTATGTTTGTTACACTTTCCAAAATGTTTAGAAAAACCTGTTTTCTATAACAATTCAATTTCATGATCATGATTTGCTTCATAGGCTGCAGAATCGAGACCGAATAATTAATTTTTAAGTTTTTGATGCACATGCATGTCAATTAAAAGCAGACTCTTTCATAACAATTTTCCTATAGCTCTTTCATAACAACAATTGTAATAACAATTCAATTTCATAATCATTTGCTCCATAGGCTGCAGAATCGAGACTGAATAATCTATTGATGCATGTGTGTATCAATAAAGAGCAGACTCCTTTCATGATAACAATTTTCCTACAATTCTAATTCATAATAACAATTTTCCTATAACTCTTT